AGAGATCGCAAAGACACAGTGTGCCTTCTTATTGACATGGTAAACCCTTCATATGGTAAGGTATCTTCGAAAATCTTCAAAAAACTATAAAATACAAGGACCTTTAAATCGAAACCTCCAAAATATGGAACATTAGAACATCAATAATTCCAGTTGTATTTGGAGCCCTCGGATTGATTTGAAAAGATTCCAATAAACTCATTGAAGGGATTCCTGGTAGCCTATGCCATAATGAAATACAAAAAAAAATGTACTCACAAGTACAGCCCACACCTTACGAGCAGCTTTATCTATGTAAAATATATGTGATCCTAGGTGTATTTTATTTGTTTTGTTTTTTTTGTTTTTTTTTTCCCAAAAAAATTCTCAGTGGAAAATATCATGATACCATTTCTGACCTTAGGTCTCTGGAATCGGAAAGAAATGAGTATACACTAGAAATCAGAGGAAATAAAATAACAACAACAACAACAACTTACTTTAACCTGTGAACATTTCACGGTTTTCTTTTTTAATATTTTGATGAATCTTAATTCTTAAGTTAACGATTGAATAAGTTCAAGGCGTGTTCTATGAAAAGAAAATACCCGTAGAAATTGCTTTATCGCATCGTTAAATATTTGAGCTTAACAACTTTAACAAAATATTGCAATAACAATCATAAATATGAATGCTGGTCGTTATTTGACGAAGTGGGTAGAAATGAAAAGATTTGAACTTGACAACCTTTTCCATGACACTACTTTCATTTTTTTTTTTTTTCATTTTCTTTTCTTCTGTTATTCATTTTTTTCGCTCATTTCTTTCTTATTCAATTATTTTTCTTCATTTTTTATTCTATGTGCGTCATCTGTGTTCTCTTAAAATTTTTATTCTTTCTTTCTTTATTTCTATTTCTTTTTCTCTACTTTTTCTTTTTCTTTTCTCTTTTTCCTTCTCTTGTTTCCAGCGACCTTTTTTCCTTCTTTTTCCTTCATCTTTTATCTTTAGTTTCTCCTTCTTTATTTAACCCATTAATACTCACATTAAAATCTTACACTAATTATAAAAAATAATAAAAATTCGGTATTAATTCTAGGTTTCTGCCTATGACTCTCAAATGCCGACTATCACAAAAAGGAAATGAAATGAAAGATGAATGCATTAATCTTCATCTTTCTTTTTACTTTTATTTATTACATTGTCTCCATCCTATTATTTTCTTTCTTTCTTTCCGTCTCACCAACTGCCTTTCTTTCTTTCTTTCTTTCTTTCTTTCTTTCTTTCTTTCTTTCTGCCTTTGTTTGTTTGTTTCTTTCTTTCTTTCTGTTTCACTGTATGCCTATCTTTCTTTCTTCCTGCATTTCTTTCATTCTTTCTTTTTTTTTCATCTCTCTGTCTGCCTTTCTTTCTTTCTTTCTTTCCGTTTCTCTGCCTTTCTTTTTCTGATCGCTTTCTTTCTGCATTTCTTTCTTTCATTCTTTCTTTCTGTTTCTTAATCCACCTTTGTTTCTTTCTTTCTTTCTTTCTTTCTAGACAAATCTCCTTCTTACGAACATTTCTATTAATAACAATTTATAAATATTTCAGTAGATTTTTTATTTTATTTATGGTAACTGGGTTTTAAATGATTGACTGACACGTTTTCCGTCGACTGATACTTTGTGCCTGGAAAATCGCTATTTCATTGCCGTCGTCTATCTTCGCCGCTTCTCGGCTATGATCAAAGTGTAATATCTGTTCTTATCAGTTTAAGTTTATTCTATATATATATATATATATATATATATATATATATATATATATATATATATATATATATATATATGATGTAATAATGTTAATGCTTAATGGTAAATACTTATATACACATGCTCACACGTACCTACATCTGTACACACCCGTATATACACACGTGCAGGCATACACATATTCATACATGTTCACTGGGCTATTATTTCGGATTTTAATTGGGTTTGGTGATATCATAATTATTAATTGTAGGAGGTTAGATTTATAATTAAATGTGTTTATTATTCTTAGAATTTATGTGCCTATGTCTGTAATTATACGCTTATGTATACGCACACGTGCCCATCTGTGCGCGTATATATGCATACCTATGAGTACATATGTACACACAGACGCGTGTACACGGGTACATGTACTCTTAAGTTTGTGGTTTCTTAGTAACAAACTAGTGCATAAAGGAAGTTTAAATATCATTTTTTGTATATGCATACACACACACACACACACACATATATATATATATATTAAGAAATGGACAAAGTCCGACAATTTATTTATTAAAGACATTTTTGTGTTTATATATTTATATATATACATATATATAGTACACACTCCCGCCCACCTACGCACGCGCCGCATGCACCGTACGCACGCTGCACCCAGGCATGAATATATCATTGTTAAGTAGTGTATGTAATTAAAATAAGTGTATGTTTATATCGTACTAGCAGTAGAGCCCGGCGTTGCCCGGGGATGTAACAGTAAGAGATAGATCAAGTATCGACCACCATAAAGACTGAAAAATAAAATTGACAAAGATTATTGTTTAAGGTTGACGGACACGCATGTCTTAATTAGTTTTTTTTTTTTTTATGAATTAGTCAAACCCAAACTCAAACAAAAACATTGTTTTCAATCGTTATGAGTCTATCGATTGAATAGAATTTTATTATAAACAATTGTCTTGTAAAAAGAATTTTTAAAGCATTCTGAATGTAAAAATAAAGAAAAAAGTGCGCAAGAAAATAAGAAACACTACCTGCCAAAAAAAAGTGAAGCTTTGTTGAAATCGGTTGAAAAATGTAGGAAATCCGATCCCATATATAAACGAACACACACACACACACAAGCAAACAACCAACCTGGGTTTTATAAGTGTAACTCGATAACTCGATATTAATAAGTATAACTCGATATGAGTTGTCCCCCTTTCATTAATGCCTCTTAATCGTGTTTTCAAATTGATTTAATGCAAAAACAATTGTGTTTTTCCAATTTTTGGCGCTGTCACCGCAAGGTAATTTTACGTAGTCCTGTGAAGTTTTGTTGAAATCGGTTGAAAAATGTAGGAAATCCGATTCAATATATAAACGTACAGACACACACACACACAATTTGCGTTTTATAAGTAAGATGTTATCCTTTGTCGTTTATTTGAAGTTTCATTTTTATTTTTATCTAATGCATTGTAGTTTTTTTTGTTTTTGGCTTGGGTATTAATTATGGTGGGTTAGCTTTGTTCATATTTTGCTGTTTGTGTGTTTGTGTCTGTGCATGTCCACATATACCTGTACACACACGCACATAGGTGCGTACTTTAGTATTTGTTCGTTTATTTGTTTATTAATACATTACGTTTATATTATATTTGTTTCTTTTATTTAAAGTTTGTATTACATATTTTTAAGTTTATATTTATTTTATTTATATTTATTTGTTTATTTTTATTTAGTGCTTAGATGACAAAGTAAAAAAATTATTTACATACCTGCATTTACCCATTATTTCAGTTTTCTT